TCTAGTACAGTGGTCCTCAACTGGGGTCAATGTGGAGCCCAGGGGGGTTCACATAACATTATTGAAGGCCACACAAAAAATAGCAAATTGGAGGTCCACGGTAATATTTTAGTGGCTCATAGAATTTATTTTGGAATGGTTGTTACAACTAAGAACTGGAATTTCTAGAGTAATCTACGCCATATTAAAATACTAAAAATAGAAAGCAGAAAACAAGATCAAGATATATAAGTTAGTTCCATGTTTACTCTATTGGATGTTTTGATTGTAAATGTTCAATAAAAACTAAGAAGGATATATAAAGGAAGGATTACATATATAAAGGAAAATTAGATTATAATATTCATTTAAATATTAATGGAATAAAATAAAATATTAATATATTAATATAAATTAATATAGAATATTAAAAAATAAAATATTAATAATAAATTTAATATATTATTAATAAATAATAACATTAATTTTGAATATTAATAAAATAAAATATTAATATAAATTAATTAATGTAAAATATTAAAATTAATTAATATAAAATATTAATAATAATTAATAATAATTAATTAATATGAAATATAAATAATAAAATTAATTTAAATAAATAATATTATTAATTTTAAATATTAATAAAATAGAATATTAATATATTAATATAAATTAATTAATATGGAATATTAGAAAAGTAAAATAATAATATTAAAATTAATTTAATATATTAATAATAAATAATATTATTAATTTTAAGTATTAATAAAATAAAATTTTAATATATTAACATAAATTAATTAATATAGGATATTAGAAAAGTAAAATAATAATAATAAAATTAATTTAATATATTAATAATAAATAATATAATTAGTTTTAAATATTAATAAAATAAAATATTAATATATTAATATAAATTAATTAATATAGAAGATTAAAAATATGAAATATTAATAATAAAATTAAATTAATATATTAATAATAAATAATATTATTAATTTTAAATCTTAATAAAATAAAATAAAATATTAATATATTAATATAATTAATATAGAATATTAAAATAAAATATTAATAATAAAATTAATTTAATATATTAATAGTAAATAATATTAATTTTAAATATTACTAATATAAAATATAATACTAATATATTAATATAAATTAATTAATATAGAATATCAAAAAATAAAATATCAATAATAAATTCAATATACTAATAATAAATAATATAATTAATTTTAAATATTAATAAAATGAGATATTAATATATGAATATAAATAAATTAATATAGGATATTAAAAAATTAATATTTAATAAAAAGTTAATTTAATATAATAATAATAATTAATATTATTAATTTTCTATATTAATAAAATAAAATAAAATATTAATATATGAATATAAATTAATTAATACAGAATATTAAAAACTAAAATATGAATAATAAAATTAATTTAATACTTAAATTATATAAGGATTATTTATAAAGAAGGTATGTTAAGTAACTTATATAAAATATTAGAGAAATTCATCTGGATTAAAACAGACTCTATGATCCATCTTTGATTATTGTGAGTCAGAAGCACTACAATGATCAGATCGTTAAACTGTTTTTTATCAATTATAACCATGTGATGTAAGTCAACGCTGTTTATTGAATTACAGTGTTACCCAATTGCAGTTATGTTACAGCTCTTCTGGGCTGTAATCATGTGAAAATTGAGGGTACATTTGAATACTTCTAGCCTTAAAAGGTTAAAAGAAATAGCATTGAATCCAACATACACAACTGTATATATACCAGCACGAGATTAAATTTGATTAATGGAACTATGATGCACATCGAAAACACTGCATACAGAATGCCTGCCTCAAAACACAAGATTTGAACATTAACTTCAACTCTTATGTTTAGTGTGTTATTTATTGTATTATATAATAATACAGTTGTGAAAATTATGAGAATTTTATGTGTTTTTTTTAGGTTAGCAGAACTTCTCCCAAAATGTGCTCAATAGATAACTAGAAATATAATATTCAATAAACTAAGAAGAGTTCAAGAGACTTATCTGGTTATCTGACTCAAGAGTTTTGTGTCAAAACACTTATGGCCAGATTTTTCATGATTGAAGGGCTTTATCTTTGTAAAATATGTGCGATCTTTTTTCAAAACTGCTCAGTGGAAAATGTCATAATGCCATTTCTAACCTTAGGTCTCTGTTCGGGACCCAGAACATCAGAAACCAAAGGAAATAAGACAACAACAATAAATATAATAATAATGGTATGAGAATCACCCAGACCCGGTTACAGAAATAGGACCTGGAACAATGTAATAATGATAATAATAATAATAATAACAGAACAATCAAAGCTAATTGCCTAGACATTGTGATCAAAGACTACAAGAATAGAATGTGCTTTCTTATTGACATGGCAGACCCTGCAGATTGTCATGTATCTTTGAAGATCTTCAAAAAACTACTAAAATACAAGGATCTTGAAGTTAAAATCTCAAAAACATGGTACATGAAGACATCAATAATTCCAACTGCAGTTGGAGCCCTCAGATTGATTGGCAAAGGTTCCAATTTCACTACAGAATTAATAGTTATCACAATCAAATTAAGTCGGCTCCCCATGAAAGATAATTACCTGTAGAACAACATTTCCACTTACAAAAACACAATTTTAAAACCCATGCCAAATTTACTATAATTGAGAAAATGGGAAAGTTCAGAGCGGATGACATTAGAAAAATTTTAGACCATGAAGATAAGTGGATTCTCCATCCACATAGGCTTAATCACAAATTTAACAACATAGAATTAATATATAACGCTACAAATCAGGCCCTACCCACATTTCTCACACACACAAGACAGACATGCTTGTGGAGGCATTGAGGCCTCATACTTATACACACACCCATACTAATATACACACTTACACACATCATACTCACTCACTCCCTAAAGAGCTAAATGATAGCACACACCCATACTAATATACACACTTACACATATCATACTCACTCACTAAGAACCAAATAACACACACACTTAACAGAAGCACATCCCCTTTCCAGGAACCAATAAAACTGTCAAAATGACTAAGGGAATTCTGAGCAGCATGAATCCATTCAGCCTTTATGTTAAATAACAACTTAAGAGAGACTGTTTGACCAACACAAGGATGACCAAAATTGATGATAAAAAAATAAAAAACAAATGAAAACCACAGATAAAGTTCATTTTCTCCATCAAGTTATTTATTTCTGCTACTAACAAGCAGAAAATTTTTTTTCTCCTGATGATGGCCATGCTGGCTGAAACTAGTTGAGGAATCTAACTGAGATAATAAAAACGAAAGAATATTAATATACAGCCCAGTGTGTCTGAAGATTTTAATTTTTTAATATTTTTTATTGTTCAAAACATATATATATAAGCTGAAATAAACAAACAGTGAATTATTTGTTAAAATCGTACACATTAAAAAGTGCTCGATTTCAAGTAGGAAAACCAAATTTGCAGAGCAATTTAATATCTTAAAAAGATAAGAACACTGACCACAACACTACAGTGGTTTTGACCACCAAGGTCTCGTCAGGTAGTTTGTTCAGCAAATTAATCAGAGGCAACACAAGAACTTAAATGCATTTAAGTTCTTGTGTTGCCTCTGATTGAATTACTGAACAAACCACCTCACGAGACTTTGCCGGTCAAAACTGTGGTAGTGTTGTGGTCAGTGTTCTTATCTTTTTAAGATATCTATCTATCTATCTATATATATATATATATATATATATATATATATATAGGACAAATAAATGTAATTCATCACTTAACTGATTGATGTCATATTCAGCTTCTTCCACACATCAACTGACATGAGCTTTTTAGTAACTGTTCAATCCACTCTTCAGGAGGTTTTGAATATAATAGTGATAATACAAATGAAAAAAATACATGAAAATTATGAGAATTTAACATATTCTTCAGGCTAGCAGAATATCTGCCAAAAAGTGCTCAATAGATAACTAGAGCTATAATTGTTAATAAATTAAGAAAAATACAAATGACTTATCTTGTTAACTGACTGATGAGTTTTACTTTGAAATGCTTATCAGGGCCAAAATTTTTGATAAATCTATTCATTTATCCATTATTAATATCCAAACTAGTTATCATTTATCAAACATCTTTTTTTTTCTTTTATACTAATGTTCACCCAATACAAGCCTCAGGAGCCACTCAAGGTAGATGGTTGCTGTATGTTGTTTGAGCATAAGAAAAAGCAATAAGTATATCTGGAGTTATAAAGTGTTAAGATCAATAGGAATAGATAGGTTTGTCTATTGTCTGGTTCACACACCTTCCTGGTCTCTTAAACTGGAACGGAGGTTTATCTCTTGTTTCCTGTTTAGGATTGATTTTCTGTTTTTTTCTAAAATCTACTTCCGCACTATTCTTATAACGTCTCTGCCTGATCTCTGAAATTTTATTCATTAATTAAATCTTGACCTCTTCAAGTCTAGAGTTAGCTGTTACCTTTCCTGCATAGCCCCAAGAACTTCAATTCTTGCCCTTTCTTGCATTAATACAAGACCACACAGTAACCCTCTACCTTGAGTGACTCTTGGGCCTTGTATTAGGTGAACATTAATAAAATAAAAATATATACATTTACTATTTCTATAATACAATTCATAAACTTATCTATTAGTAAAAAAAATAAAATCAGCTTCTTTTTCATTGAATAGTTATGGGATTCACTAAAAAAATTAGGAGTAAAAATAGTCAATAGGTAAAAAAAAGTTAAGAACCATTGGTTTATTACTTATTTATCTACTTCGACATGAGAACAAATATGATACAGGGTCAGTTATACATTTTTACTATCTGGGAATAGTAGTAGTTGTAGTAGTAGCAGTTGTAGTAGTAGCAGTTGTAGTACAAGCAGTTGTGGTACTAATAGTAGTCTTCAAGAACAGTTTTGGCTCATAGCCATATCACATTGAAACACCGGTTAGCATACAATCCCTGAAGTTAAGCAACGTCAAGCCTGGTCAGTACCTAAATGGGTGATTGCTTGGGAATACCAGGTGCTGTTAACTTGGATGTGCAGGTGGTTCAGTGGATAATGGCTTGGAATTGTTAACTGGAAAGCTGAGTTAGAATTCCCATGATGCTCGTTATATTCACTTACATGAAAATACCATTGGGAGAGGTATGAATCCACCTCTTCTCGCCCCAGCTATGGGTTAATTAGTAATTCTTGTATCACTAAAACCATTATTATTCCCCCCAACAAAAAAATTCTTACAATCTAAAAATGTTTTCTGGCTTTAAATAACCTGCAAAGGGTTGATAAGCCATAAAGAAATGGATGAATCAATCAATCAACCAAGTGAGGTGTAACATTTTGTGGGTATTGGTGTTATCATCCATTCAGTATTTTCACCTGCTGCTGGTCTCCAGATGTAGTCGACTACTGGCTTATCATTGTGTACTCACTAGGATGTGATTATCAAAGAACCTCTTTGGTCATTCTAGCAGGTTGTGGTTTTCTTGATCTGGAGACTTTCTCAAAAGGCAAAAGAAGTATAGGTAGAAAGAATAAATGTTGATATAAAAACTACCAACAATTTAATAGCATTTCTCAACCAGGCACCCAGACACATTAATGTGCCCTGAAAGGTAGCCAGGTGCACCCCAAGTTAACAGAAGAGTATTATTATGAATTATTTTTATATTTAAAAAAGAAATTTATTTTTAAAAAGCTAGAAACACCAAGCAAATGGCTTCCATGTCTAAGTCAAGTCTTTGTCATTTGATATTTTAAACTGGATGCTAAATTCCTTAATCTTTAAGGAGTGGATAATCCTTTCCCTTTTGTCTTCCTCAAGAGGTCTGGCAAATACAAGTGGTTCATTTAATAACTCCAGAAGGTAATCTGAGTTATTACTTTCCATCTATAAACACAGAGAAATACAATTGGATTTGCAACCCTTTCATTGATGTTTCAATTGATGGATATTATCTTCTGACAAAGGTTTTACTAGGAAATGAGATGGCTTTTTCAAAAACGACCTTTGACTAGGCATGGTCTTTCAAAAACTGACTTTGCTCAGATTCTAGGTTCAGACATTTTGGGTAATTGGGTAATGAGTTCATTATGTAAATACTTCCCAGATTCCACTGGGTCTTGCAGAATTTTGGTAAACATATTAAACTTCTCACTACAATTTCCTTTGGGATGAGAAGTGGGGTAGGGAAAATTCACTCGTACTGAATTTGCTGAATCTTATTAAGTTTATTTTGGGTTCAAATCCTACTGATACCTTCCTCATAAGCATTTTATAAGTTTTAATTAATATTTTTTAAACAAACCTTCTTCCATCAGCAGGGGCCAAACCCTCCAACAGGTGCGTGTATGTGTGTGTGTGTGGGGGGGGGGTGAGCCTGATTGAGGTTCCCAGCAGAGCTTTGTGAGCCTTGCTATCTCATCAACATTTACTTTCTTCTTCCTACATTTATATACATTACACATTAAACTAAGCAGAATTGACTGTTAAAGGATGAAAAATTTTTGTGGATTTTGACATCCTTCTGGGGTCTTTTTTTTCAGTGACATCTGTGAATTTGTTTTGCTCATAGGTCTCAAAGAATACTATATAAAATTCACTATTCCTTATCTGTAATGTTGAATGTGTTAAAATTATTCAACTTTTTAAAAAAAAATTTCAAGTTGATGTTAAAAATTGACACAAATGTTACCTTATGAAAAGTAAGATCTATTAGAGAGGGGAATGCCATATCATAAATCTATTAGAGAGGGGAATGCCATATCATAGATCCGAGAGGCATGAGACCTTTGCACTGGCCCTGTATATCAGGTCCCATTCTGATCAACTAATCTTCCATACTTTTTTCAGAATTTTAGAATTCTAAATGAAGTATTTAGAATACTAAGGTATTCTAAATACTTCATTTAGAATTCTTAACTTTCTTAAGTCACCTAGTCTTGGGTATGATGACAAACTACATCTGGCAGCAAGGCTTCTGATTTGGAGATTGCAGGTTTTGAGGAGTTTGGAGCCACCTGTTAATTGCTGTTGTTTCCAGGTCCACCTTGACCTGTGGTGGTAGCACCTGTTAGGGTCCCAGCTATGGGAAAATCGTCAACCCCCAAACAAAATACTATGAAAGTTTAAAAATACATTTTTATAGTAAAAAATACCAGCAAAACCTATTTGTAATAAAATGACCAGCCATACATTTTATCTGTAGTTAAAGCCATAAAATTGTGTTTAAAATATTTCGGTTTTGGCATTAAATAACCCATAGAGGTGTTGATATGCCACTGGGCAGAATCAACCAACCATCATGAAAGAATTCTTTCATAACATTAATCCATATAATATCCTACAATTCCTTAAACTCTATTCCAAAATATAACTTCAACAAAACTATAACATAAAACACACATATGACCGCCTCTAGTAATTATGTCCACAAACATGTATATGTACAAAAGCTGAGTATCATTTATGAAGTATTCAGTTATGAAAGCAGAACAACACATATCCTTTTTTTATTAATTTGAGGCTTGCAAGAAAATTAAATATCGGCATTAAATGACCCATAAGGAGTTGATATGCCATTAAACAAATCTACCAAGTCTACCTCAAATCACTAAACAACATTTTATGAATTACTAGCTGTACAGCCCAGCGTTGCCCGGGGATATAACAGTAAGAGATAGATCAAGTATCCACCATCATAAAGACTGAAAAATAAAATTGACAAAGATTATTGTTTAAGGTTGACGGACACGCATGTCTTAATTAGATTTTTTTTTTTTTTTTTTACGAATTGGTCAAACCCAAACTCAAACAAAAACATTGTTTTTAATCGTTATGAGTCTCCCGATTGAATAGAATAATTTTATAAACAATTGTCTTGTAAATGGAATTTTTTAAAGCATTCTGAATGTAAAATAAAAAAAAAGTGTGCAAGACAATAAGAAACACTACATGCCAAAAAAAAAAAGTGAAGTTTTATTGAAATCGGTTGAAAAATGTAGGTAGCCTTTCTGTAATCTTTTAGTTTTTACAATTTATGATTTTTACTTATTGAATACAGTAAAAAAAAAAATGCATATTTTGCTTGTGGTGATTCATAATTAGAATTCTGATTTGAATATATTTTCCACTCGTTGTTTCTAATGTGTATTTAAAGTAGTTTCCTGTTCCGGTTATTATTTTTAGTTAGGACTTGTGTATGTTTAGATTTCATTATCTTTCCCTAAAGATAAAGAATTTATCCGATGTTTGTATTCATACAATCAGTAGAGATCGTTAGATTATTGTTTAAGGTTGACGGACACGCATGTCTTAATTAGTTTTTTATTTTTATTTTTTACGAATTGGTCAAACCCAAACTCAAACAAAAACATTGTTTTCAATCATTATGAGTCTCCCAATTGAATAGAATTTTATTATAAATAATTGTCTTGTAAATGGAATTTTTAAAGCATTCTGAATGTTAAAAATAAAGAAAAAAGTGTGCAAGAGAATAAGAAACACTACCTGCCCCCCCCCAAATGAAGTTTTGTTTTATTGGCTGAAAAATATAGGAAATCCGCTCCCATATTTAAAGGAACCCACACACACAAACAACCCGATGTGAGTTGTCCCCCTTCCATTTTCACGATGTCTCTTAATCGTGTTTTCAAATTGATTTTGTGCAAAAACAATTATATTTTTCCCATTTTTGGTGCTGTTAGAATCACCACAAGGTAATTTTATGTAGTCCTGTGAAGTTTTGTTGAAATCGGTTGAAAAATGTAGGAAATCCGATCCAATATATAAACGTTACAGACACACACACACAATCTGCGTTTTATAATAAGTAAGATTATGACTCAATCAGGGCTACTGCTATGTTACAATTCTATAAGTTGAATTCATGCAAAAATATTTTTTTCTTACACATAAAAGAAAGTAACATTATCAAATTAACAGTATCTTTCTCCTTATCAAACTGTTTAAATTCTATAAAACAAATAATATATGTAGTTAAATAAATTTGCTTTGTTATGCTGATGGAATTTGTTTTTCTATTTTACACATATCTGAAAGTCTCAACACAATCTTATTTTTCAAACTTAGTGTGAATACACAATGCATTCAAAAGATAGTGGCCTTCTTTCACTTAAAACCATCAGCTCAGTTAAATTTAATAACTGTCCTGCTGAAGTATTAAGTGCTTTTCTATATATTTTCACAATATTGTAAACTTCTTACCAATAATGGCCATCTTGTAAAATCATTATAAATTAGTAAAAATTTACTTCCAAAAAACCCCCCCAAAAACATCTAAATTATTTTTCGTTTTTTTTTTTGGTTATTTTTTAGGAAGTCTGTGTTGGTATCTATAAGCTCCACTTATTTCACGTTATCATCTTGCCTAGTGAGAATCAACTTTTTTAATATAGGGTTTTTTCATTAAACTTTAAACAAGACCGTATTTCTTGATACAGATATGGAATCTAAAGAAAAAGGGAAATAATTTCAAAGAATGATAAATTATTGATTCAGTGTTCGTCTGCTCGACTAATGGATGCACGAATTACGACACGATGCAAAAATTAATCATTTTTCTTAGCAATGAATGATATAACAAAAATTTTATGTTTCTCGATTACGAATTAAAAAAGGAGTTCTATGAAAATCTCTGCGTTTGTAGTTTTTATTAATTTTACTTTTAAATTTTAAAAAGGTTATACGACATTTGTTCCCATTCACGGTTACGTGTGGTCGTGTTTTGTTAGTAAGACGCACGCACCAGAAAGACGATGGCGCTTTAGCTGCGTTGTTCGTTCATTATTTTATGAACAGTCGTCACTTAATAATATTATTATAATTTTAAAAACAGTATTAACGCCAAAAATTAAAAAAACAAAAAAACAGATAATAACTATGGACTTAGCACATAATATATTAGCATAAGTTACGCGTGTGTGTTTTGTAAGTAGGACGATTTTTGTAACATTAAAAAAAAACACCACAGTAGGATGATAAGGAATTAAACAAATTGTGAGTAATT